GCATTCCTCTGGTCCACTAATTTTGTCACTTTGTCAAAGAATGCAATAAGATTAGTCTGGCATATATATGCATAAAGGTTCATAGATAGCATGAAAATCCACATGCAGTAATTACGGTCCACTTTCAATTCCTTTGTCTTTCAACTACAAATAAAATAAATCAGTCAATCAACTTCATTAATGATCTTTTGATGTCTTTTCCCCCTTTTGTTTCTATTCTAGGTTCTTGGTGATCTCTTTGGAGGAGAACCTACCCAACCGAAGCGAAAAGCCAAGCAACAGAAATTGTCAGAGGCATTGACGGCCTTACTTGAATGTGTCCAGGACTTTAGATGTCCTTCCTATATTGCAAGAAACCTGGTGAAAATTCTTCACGAAGTCAATGGCAGTGTAAGTGAAATACCTGATGTTAACACTGGGGAAATATCAGAGATCAAAACAGATTTTTGTGTTGTTTTTCTGCAGGGCGAGACCTTGTTTATATCTTAGTTTTGTTATATTAACAAAATGGAACTTTTTATCTCTCTCTTTATTTGAATAAGACTTAAAAATGCCAAGATATATAAAAGAGTTCCAAGTTGCCACTTGGTTATCCAGGCTGTTTGTTTGGCAACACATAATTTCTGCCCATTGGCCATGTTGTCTGGGGCTGGAAGAAGTTAAAACCCAGAATTTCTAGAAGGCATCACGTGGTATATACCTGCTGTAAAGGGAGGTCCTTCCAGCATTAAAAAGAATCAGCTTATTAAAAAAGAATCAGCTGGCTGTCATCATATATACCAAGTCTGCAGAGATTCTTAGGCGATTCAAAGACTTGTCTTCAGATGATTTGCATGTCTAGTTTATTACTATTGGTTATATATGTGCTTGCATCATACACATTTAGAAATTTGGCTTTCTCTCCTGAAACATTGACTTGCTTCCAGAAGTTGTGGATGCTCCATCACTGAAGATTTTTAACATATTAAGAGAGCCATTTGTCTGAAATGGTAGAGGGTCTCTTGCTTGAGCAGGGGTTTAACTAGAAGACTTGCAAGGTCCTTTCCAACTCTGTTACTCTGTTAACACACACATACTACAAAACAAGTTTTATAAATATAGGTTGATTAAATTTTTGGCTGACTTTTTTCCCCCCCAAAAAAACCCCATTTGTTGTGTGATTTTTTTTCAGGGGGTGCTTCTTAGCTTGCTGCCTCTCCTCGATCGGTTATTGGAGAAAGCTTCTGGTACAGGACAGATGTTGAGAGATGAAGCCCTTCTTTTGCACCTCGTTCTTGGGAAATACAATGAACACTCGTCAACACTCCTTTGCACAAATCAAGAGTGCCTACATCTGTTCATCAAAGCTTTGCATGCCTCACAAGAAGTGTACCAGGGCCTTCATCCTTTTCAGATTACAGCTCTTGGGCAGGTAAAATCTTGTATGAGTGATTTCATTAGAATCTTTCAGAGAGATTATTAGCCTAAGTCACCTTCTAGAGTACAAATGATTCTCTTCTATTTGCCACTAAAGTTCTTCCAATTGCTTTCTAAGGAGAGAGCTGATAATTAGGTTTTGCTCCAATTTCCTTTTTTCCCCTCCTGATTCCTTGTACACCACAATTCTACTAAGAAAGAAAATAACAGAAAATCTACTTCCAGCAGGAGGCAAATAAAGTTCTTTTTTGCTGAAGAAGGATCCTTTTGATACATTTTTCTTTGGCAATGTAAGTTGTAGGTAAATGGATTGAGCGTTCTGTTGTGTGTCGTTTCCTTATTTCCCATCAAGTTATAAAGCAGTCCACTAAAGACTAGAAAGTACAGGATATATGTCCAGTCCTGAAAGCAAAGTTGAACAAATATTCGAAAAAGCCAAATTTAAATTGTATTTTGGGCAGAATTGCTTTTCAGAGTGAGATGGCCAGCATATAAATTTAATAAAGAAATTAATTCACAGGGTATTGTGAGGAAGCTCTGTATCTCCTTATTTTCCTTATCACTGAAAATAATATTGTGCTTTCTTCCAAAATGTTATATATAAGCTCTTGTCTTTTTGTCATTTCTAGATTACAAAACCTTTCTTTGCTGCACTGCCAGATGGGAAGGTACAGCAAAGGATTCTGGGAGCTCTTTTTGACTTACTCCTCAATTGCAAGAATCTACATTGTGCCCAGACAATTGGCAGCGTATTTAAAGGGGTAAGATAATTTTAATCTTGTTGCATAATGAGACTGTGATTCCTCTGAATCAGGAGGAATCAGGATTACAGATCAGGATTACAGGTAGTCCTCAATTTACGACCACAATTGAGCTCCAAATTTCTGTTGTTAAATGAGACATTTGTTAGGTGAGTTTTGTCTCGTCTTTGGCACTTCTTGTTAAGTGAATCACTGCAATTGATAAGTTAGTAACTCTGTTATCAAGGGAATCTGGCTTCCCCGTTGACTTTGCTTGTCAGAAAGTCATAAAGTGATTACCGTATTTTTCGGAGTATAAGACGCACCAGAGTATAAGACGCACCAAGGTTTTGAAGAGGCAAGTTTTTAAAAAGGTAGGTAGGTAGATGGAGGGAGGGAGAGAGAGAGAGAGAGTAGGGAGGGAGAGAGTGTAGGTAGGTAGGAAGAGGGATAGAGAGAGAAATAGAAAGAGATAGAGAGAAAGAAATACAGTAGATAGGTAGGGGGAGAGAGAGAGTAGGTAGGTAGATAGATAGAGAGAGAGAGAGAGAGAGAGAGAGAGAGAGAGAGAAATACAGTAGGTAGGTAGGGAGAGAGAGAGTAGGTAGGTAGGTGATGTGTCCAGGTGCATTTATCCATGTGCTGGAGAAGGAAATAACTGACAAACCTTACGACTTTGTTTCTGTTGGCACAGCACTTGATCAATGTAATTCTCATCAGTTAAAGAGCTTTTCAAAAGGAAAAAAAAAGTGTTTGCACTCTGCAAACCTCTGAAAAATGGACCCATTTTTTTTTCAAATAAAAGGCATGAATAGCGGGGGGGGGGCTTGCAGAGTTCTCCTGGGGGGAGGGCAAAAATGAGCAAAAAAGGCCCATTTTTTGTCAAACAAAATGCATGCATACCTTTATGGAGGCTTATAGAGTACTGCTGGGGAGGGGGGCAAAGAACGGCCAATTTTCTGCTCATTTCTGCCCTCCCCAGCCCCCAGGAGCTCTCTGAAAGCCTTCATAAGGGTATAGACAGCCATTTTGGTAAAGGCGCAGGGCTTGGGGAGGCAAAAAATGCTGTATTCGATGTATAAGGTGCACCCAGATTTTCAGCCTCTTTTTTGAGGGAAAAAGGTGTGTCTTATACTCCAAAAAATATGGTACATGACTTTGGGACACAGCAATGGTCAGAAGTATGAACCAGTTGCCAAGCATCTGAATTTTGATCAAGTGATCACGGGGATGCTGCAAAGGTTGTAACTGAAAAACGGTAAAAATTTTCAGTGCCATTGTAACTTTGAATGATCACTAAATGAATTGTTCTCAATCGAGGATTACCTGTATTTATTTAATAATACATAAATAAATAATAAAGAATGAATTATTCATCTATTTCTATGTCAATTTTGTATTCTTCCCTAATCACATAGTTTGCTTGCAGGAATTAGGCCATTATAATCTGATTACTTTTAACCACCATATTCTGTTCAGTATAAGAGCTAACAAAAATATATGTTACAGAGAATTTAAAAAGTATTTATAGGAATAGTTTGGAAAATTAGTAATATGCTGTATGATGAGTGCATTGCTTTTACTGAAAACATGACTTTTGTAAACACAAAGAATATCGCATTTTTCGGAGTATAAGACGCACTAGAGTATAAGAAGCAGCAAGGTTTTGAAGAGGCAACTTTTTGCACTCTGCAAACCTCTCAAAAACGGCCCGTTTTTCACAAAAACAAGCCCATTTTTTTTTTCCCAAAAAAAGGGCATGAATAGCCCTTAGGAGGCTTGTGGAGTGTTCCTTTGGGGGGGGGGGCTGTTTTTTGTGAAAAAAAAGGGCATTAGGAAGTTTATAGAGTGTTCCTAGGGGCTGGGGGGGCAAAATTGAGCAAAAAACGGCCCATTTTTTGCTCATTTCTGCCCTCCCCAGCCCCCAGGAGCTCTCTGAAAGCCTCCTACAAGCTATGCATGGCCATTTTGGTGAAGAGGGGGGGGTTTCAGGAGGCAAAAAATGCTGCATTCAGTGTATAAGACGTACCCAGATTTTCAGCCTCTTTTTTGAGGGAAAAGGGTGTCTTATACTCCAAAAATATGGTAATTTCTGGTTTTAAGCCAAGAATTGCATTGCATTTTCAGTAAGAAACTATGCTGTGATGCTAAATTCATAGGAAACATATTCTTCATAGCCCTCCCCTTCAAATACAAATTGTCGTGCTTTCTTTCTGCACCGCCATACAGGCAAGTCACATGTCAGTTGACAGAGGATGGCCAGATGACATGCTGCATATATATAATATATTGTGAGGTGTGGTGTGTTGCAAATCTTTAAAACAAAATCTAACATATTGTTTAGATTTCAGTAGATGCTGAGCAGATTAGTATCGAACTGGAACCTCAGCCTAAACTCAAGACTGTTGCTACCGTTCACCAGACAAGAAGACAGAAAATACAGCAGCAGAGGTAAAATGGGTGGGAAATATAAGTGCCATATATACTATAATGGAACAGGTTTTTTGAAATGGAGAATTAAAAGATTTGGAAGCCAAGCAGTTAAAAAACATACGGTAGTAATTCATTAAGCAAGCAATTTAAGCTATGGCAGTTCCATCAGTCTACATGTGGAATAAAATTGGTTACACTGTGACATTTTACATGAAGAGAACGCAAATTATATTCATTGAATTCTATTAATTTTGGCTAATTGGAACTGAATTTCATACACACTGGTGATACAGTATAATGAAGACAATTTCTGTGATTAAATGGGAAAAGACAGAGTTAACCAAAGGGGATTGGACAAACATGAGAATAAGTGTTAGGTTATTTTATATAATTAATACTTTAATAACTTCTGTTGGCAATTGTATTTGTATATGCATATGACATTAGGACAAATTCAATGCTTCTATAGAGAGTTATAATCTTGTTTCCGTAATCATGAGAACTAGAAGTCCTGTCTGAATTCCTCAAAAAGTGCCAGATGTTACCAGGTTAAATAACCAAAAACAAGAGAACTAAATAGTTAACCAGAGAGAGAACAAAAAAGAGAAGTCATAAGCATATATGATAAGCTATGGGATAGAAAGAGTAAAAAGGACATATGAATTAACTTATTTTTAATAGCTGTATTTTGTTGATGATTCTTTGGCTGTTTGTAGGATCTGACTCACAGAAGTAGTTGCTCTGCAAAAACTGATATTTTTATAGAAGGAAATAAGTTGATTTCGTTCTTTTGATCATCCAGGAAAGTCCAAGATCAAGAATGTGTACAAGAAGAAAGTACAAACTGGCAAAGAATTACACTTATCCTAGAATTGCTGCAGCACAAAAAGAAGCTCAAACAGCCTCAGGCTCTGATATCTACCCTTTTCAATTTGCTATCTAGGTAATTTTACTTTGGAGACCAATTCTAAATCTTGTAATTTCTTAACCATAATTGAGTTCACTCCAGCCATTAAACATTGAGGACTGTCTGACCCTGGAAAACTCTATATCTCGCCCATGGGAGAAGGGAGTTCCAAAATAGGATAACCCTTCCATTTTTAGATTTGGGCATTATCAAAATGTCTCGTCTCTTCTGTCCTCCATTCTGTGCTATGACCTAGTTCTGTCCAAACTCTCTTTAAGTGGCCAAGCTGTAAGCAAACCTGCATTTGGTCACTATGAACTTGTGGATCTGTCCGCCCTTTGAGATGTTCCATCCAGTGTCTTAGAGCACTTGCTCCCTCATTGCTAAACAATTCTTGAGCTGCATCAAGTCGCCTCTACTGTAGCTATGTTGTTTCCTCAAGATGCTTGTACTTCCTTTCCTGTCTGTAACTGGTTCCCTTGAAGATTTCGCCAAATAAGATATTTGAAAAAAAGAAACTTGGAATGTGATGTAGAAATTATCAGTGTTTTGTAGAAGATTTGTTCTCTCTGCTCCCCACCCTTCAGAACTGCTATTTTTAGGTATCAGCATGAAACGTTATGTTTGATCATCTATTTCTCCAAAAATATCTTAACTCCTTTTCTGAATTTCCAGGTGTCTAGAACCTACTGCAGGGGAAGAAAATCTGGAATACACAAAACAACTAATACTTGGTAGCTTGTTAAATATTTGTCAGAAGCTGTCCCCAGATAGCAACAGGATAAAGGCAGGTAAAGTGAAGACCAAAGTTAATTTCATTTGGGATATTTGACAGTGTTCCCCAGGCTTTGTGTCCCTAAATGGGATGGAAGCACTGTAAGCCTTCTTTGTGTTTTCAGGTCTCCTGGATGAAGAGAAATTCAACGTGGAACTGATCGTTCAGTGCATCCGGGTCTCAGAAATGCCACAGACCCATCACCACGCACTGCTCTTGCTGGGCACTGCAGCTGGAATGTTTCCTGTGAGTTCATTGGAAGGCATGTTGAGGGAAGAGAGGTTTATTCAAGTTTCTAAAAAGTATCACATTTTAGGTGCCTTTTCAGTTCTGATGCAGGCATTTGGGTGATGCTGCTAGTCTTTTCCCATGCTTAGGAATAGCTGACCATTTTCCAGGTTCACTTCCTTCCTTTCTCCAAGATTTTTCTCAACCCCTCCCCCTGCTTTTTTTCTTTTCATGGCTCACCATCAGTGACCCCTCATTTTTTCTTTCTCTTCTTTCTCTCTAATCTGTTACTCCCTGAAATGACCACTAACTAGGCAGAGGTTTGACAGTATGTTAAATGTTTAACAGGTGTTAAACATTTGGTTTATGTTTAAACAAATATTGAGGAGCTGCTAAAGTTTTCTATTCATTCAGGATACAAAACTGGCTTCCGAGTGCAATTCAAGGTGCTGATTATTACCTATAAGAACCTGGTTACCTGAGAAATCTCTGGTCTTCAGTTGTTTTTGCCCATCTTTTCTTAATTGGGAGGCCCTTCAGACAATCAGTATGCCTTGGTCACCTCACAGTTGAATGGCTGCAATGTGCTCCACATGGAGACGACTCAGAAGCTATAACTACTGTATTTTTCGTAGTATAAGACGCACATTCCCCCCCCCCAAAAAAAAGAGGGTGAAAATTTGGAT